GGCAGCAGGCACAGGAGCTGGCCTGGCAGGATGAGGACATTGGCCAGGAGATTGCCTGCAAGGAGGCACGGGACCTGGTACAGCAGGGGCACTGGGCCCTGTAGCAACTGGCCAGTCAGGGCCCCTGGGTCCTGCCTGCTGCCCCACAGCAGCCCCCCATCTGAGCCTGGGAGGAGGGCTTCCACCACCTCCCACCTGCAGGAGTCCCTGGCATTCGCCACAGACCCCGGACCCACAAGGGAACTGTCCACAGCCAGGTGTTGGCCACCTGCTGCTGGGTTTTGTGCTCTGAACACCCCCACCCCACAGGTCCCCACTCTGGTACTCAGACAAAGACTAAGACTGGTGTATATAGTTTTCAGTGCTTGGGAGGAGGTATTTTATTGTTGGTAGGCAGGGAGGATGGTGGAGAGGCTCTGTGTGTCAGGGAGGGAGGAGGAGGGGGCTCTGTTGGCTGAGGAGTAAGGTTTGGGGCATAGGGGTGGGGGGTGCAAGGGGAATAAAGGTTTTCATTACAAATATGAGTGTGTCCTGGAATGGTGCTTGGGGGTGTGCAGGGGGTAGGGAGTGTGTGGATGGCATGGTAGACGGCTGTTGGCAGAGACAGGCAGGCACGTCTCTGTGTCCTAGTGCTCCAGGTGGGGCCAGAGCTGTTGCAGCAGGTCTTCAGAGGTGGCCTGGGTTGTCTGGAATGCGTCACCCCCCGGTCATCATCCCATTCCTGCAGCAGGATGCACTATCAACAGTGCTGGCTGATGCAGTGGGCCCAGAGGTGGTGGGGCTGGTGGAACAGGAGGGCGGTAGTGTCCTGAATCCCATGGTTGCTGGGGCTGGCAATAGCAGCTGTGCAGCAGCAGAGGCCCTGGAACGCCATGTACCAACTGTCCAGCAGGTGGCTGGAGCAGATGTGGAAGTCAGGCTGCACTGAGTGGCTGAGTGGCAGGTGCATGGAATGGCGGTGGGTAAGCAAGACAGCTGCGGCAGCCCTGAGGATCCGGGGACCCTGTCCCTGGGCTCTAGGGCCAGGATCTGGGGCAGGCAGGGTTGGGAAGTGCAGCTGCAGCAGGAGCAGAGCAGATACTTTCTGCCTGTGTCTGCCACGCTGCTTCTCTGACACAGGAAGCATCACCCCAGAGGTCACAGAACGGAGGGTGTGCTTTCAAGATGGCTTCTGGGTGTTGGCAGCTGGCTCCAGCTTCAACATAGCTGCTAAGTGCTGGCAGCCATGTGTCCGGAGTCTGGAGTTCCCCCCCAGTGGCCACAGGGGCACATGGCAGGGCTGTACTGACCTGGGACTAAAGTTAGTCCCAAGTCCCACCACGTGTAGACACCTGCCAAAAAATGCTTAATGCTCATTAGCTTAACACACATTAAATTTAAGCCCACTTAAAATCACGTGTAGACACGCCCACTGAGAGGCAGAGAAGAGTGTGGAAGAGGCACATGTGAAAAAGATTTGGACATAGCTTAGCTGTATCATCTATGCCTTGTCTGAAATCATTAACGGCTTCATCCCTCCACATCGTGTGCACTATATACCAGGTCGAGTACTTGTGCTCTTTGGGGTGGCTTTCCTGTGTGAGATGGAAGTAGTTACCACAATGTAAGGGGACCTCCTCAAAAACCATACCCTAGGGTCTTACTATTTGGTAGAACTGGTGATTGGCTATGTTAGAATCCTGTCCCAGAGAAAAGGGGGAAAAAGAGAAGAGAGACAAGCTGGACTGACTCTTTAATCTGTTTGTACAGTACCTTGCACATTGGGTTCCTGGACCAAGGCTGGGGTTCCTAGGTTTAACCACAGTATGTGTAATATATAATACTAATGCATAATATTAATGCTTCTTGGGCGCAGGTTCTCAGGGCAGGTGGAATTCACCCATTGGTCCCAAGGTCATGATTACTTTCCCTTACCATATTGCTAAACTGGGAATGGATCATGGCTAAGTGAGTGGGTATTTTTGGTGGTGAATAGAAGGGGGGCACAGCATGGAAAGGTGGCTACATGCCACCCTCGGCCAGGCTTTTCAGAATGAAAAGCTCAGAAGGACATGAACGATTCTGCTCTTTTTAAGCCCAAACACCTAAGCTCCAGAGACTGAACAACACAGGGTAATACAGCAGGCCTGCATATGCACTCTTCTTACCTGCATACAGACATGGCTGCTGCTTCTGCTTCATGATTATGAAGTGGAGCCTGGGAAATCCAGTTGGGGCTTTTGCATGAGTGGGAATATTACAACAGCAGGCTTAACCTTTGCTTTCTGAGGTTTTGTCTACATTGCAGTTGGAGGAATGATTGCAGAAGCGTAGACGTACCTGAATTAACTTTAATCTGGCCAGCTCAAGAACCAGGAGCAGGAAAGCCACCTGGTGGCATAAGCTTTGAATCCATTTGTACCAGACTGCCCTGAGTAGACACCTGGGCAGCTGTGATGCTAATGGTACCCCAGCTGGCCAGATGAAAGCACGCTCAGGTGTACCTCCATATGCTCCCATGACTGCAGTGTGAATATGGCCCCAGTTCTGAAGGAGATTGGTCATATCTCATCCTTCCCCTGCTGCCCTCCTGCCATGCTTTTCTAAGTCACATTTCCTTGTTTCTTTTATTCCAGAAAAAACCCTGTCGTGCTTAACAAATGATCTCATAAAGAATCAGCCGCAGCTATGCTGAGGTTTCCAGGGCAAGCTGTTGTTATATAATGGACAGACACATTTGATTCCTCTCTCTCTTTACATTGGTCTCTGCCTCTGAGCGTCTGTCTGTCCCTCTCTGGTTTTGGCTTGCCAGTTCCCATTAGTCTGGAAATGAAGTGGAAAGCAATAAGAGTGGGACAGCTGTCTCCGTTCTTGCTGACCGGTTTAATGGGCCTCAGATTTCCTCTTACAGCCGTTAGCACTTGAGTTTCCTTCCAGCTCTCCCTCCAGCCTTTCGCTATCGTGCTGTACCAGCCCATGTGTGCACACAGCAAGTGCACACGTTGCACAACACATGCACAAAGGTTCCTGTCTTATCACACAGGAATGGTCCTTTTCTTCTGGGATCCTGCTGCAGACACACAAGTTTAGAAAGGATTTACTGCAAGGGTTTATATGAGCTGGAGTTGTTCTCTCTCTACATCAGGGAAAAGAGTTCTGTATGGACATTTTTTGTCTTTGTTTTTCCCCATCCTTGTAGAAATGTGTTCCCACCATGAAACAGTTTCTGGGTCTTGCCTACTGTAGGCAGACATTGCTACTGTCAAACTTTGCTCATTGTCCCATTCTTCTCTGTACACATAACTGTCCATTTAGCACTCAGTCATAGCAGCATTGTTCCATCATCCTTCTATAAGGAATGTAGGACTGGAGTGGAGATGGTGCAGGCCCACTGAGAAAACTGGTGTATGCACCATAGGTGCCAGGGTATTAAATATTATTACCAGAGCATGCAATCTCACTTCACTTTGCCTCTGTGAAGCTACTAAGATCTGATGTGGTCCATCAGGAGTGATTCATGGTAGAAGATCAGCCTCATGTTGTCATCACTTACTTCATCTTTCTGAACTTGTCCCTCCTCTCCATTTTTCTCTCATTAAAAAAACTCCTATTAAGAATATCAGACTTGCTATTGAAGTGGGAGCATCAGAAGGTCAAGAGACCTTGTATGTGTCACTGTATAGGAATTATACAGCTGGAAGGGACCTCAAGAGATCGTCCAGTTCAACATCCTGCACTGAGACAGTATCAAGTATACTTCAGCTTTCCTTGAGAGATGTGTATCTAACCTAGTGATTCTCAGTCAAGGTGTCATGAGATCCATCTACGGGTGCTGTGGGTTGATTCACAATGTTAGCACTGATAAGTGTGCAAACACCTCCACATGATTCACAAGATAAACCCAGAGATTTCAAATAGGAATCCATAGCACCAAAAATATATCGCTGACCTACTGTGGTCTTTCTGAGTTCTTTGCAATGGAAGAGTTGCTCTAGTATTTTTCCACAGTCAAAAAATAAGTGAAAGCTAGAAGCAAAAGCTAAGGGGTAGGCAGACATGGTTCTTTGGGTAAATCCGATATCTTTTATTGGACCAACTCAAATAGTTGGTCTAATAAGTAAACCTACCTGAAACCTACACCCCTGAAAGCTAAGAGCTGGCATTTTCCAAGGTGTGCTTTGCATCACACCACAGGTTTAAGAGAACCTGAGAACCACAGGTCTAACCTGTTCTTAAAAACCTCCAGTGAAGCTTGCTACATCTCTTCTTGCAGTGTTTCACTACCCCAACAATATTTCCTAAAGTCCAACCTCAGACTTCTTTGCTGCAAATTAAGCTGACTTTCTTCTGGTCTTTCTCCAAGACTACTTTATAACAACCTTGTGTACATTGGAAGACTGTTATCAGGGCTCCCCTTAGTCTTTCGTTCTAGATTAGTCTTCCTTTCCCTCAACCTTTCCATATACATGATGTTTACATAACCTGTTAGCATTGTTATTGCCGTCCTCCTGATTGCTTCCAGTTTGTCTGTGTCTTTCTTCAAGTGTGGTGCCCCAAACTTGACATAGTACTCCTGCTCTAGGCTCAACGAGCACAGAGCAGAGCAGAATGTTTATCTCCTGTGTTGTAACCACAGCACTCCTAAATTAATACAACTTGGTATGAGCTGTACCTTTTCTGTAACCGCATCACTATGTTAAGTAGTATTTAGTTTCTGATCCACTGTAATCATAGATTCTTCTCTGCCATACTGTTGTCTACTCTAGTATCCCCCATTTTCTATTTATGCATTTGATTTCCACTTACTAAGTTTAGCACTTTACACTTGCATCTGTTGAATTTCTTTTTGGTTTCAGACCATTGCTCTTATTTGTCCAGGTCATTTCAGATCCTGATTCTATCCTTCATAGTTCTGGTAACATTCTGGCAGCTTGGTGTCATCTGCCAGTGTTATAAGTCATAAAATACACTTACCTGTTCTTTTTTTCTGTACTAACTCCTTGTTTTCTCTTTCTTTTTAGCTAGAACACATTCAGAAACACATATGGTATATGTAAGTAACATTTTTTTAATCTTATATATTATCTTTAGTGTTATTGCTGTTGAAAGGGGAGCTGGTTCTCTAGAAATCTATGAAAGGGATAGAGTGGGTTTTGAATTCTGTTTCTTCACGTTACAAAGAAAATGGTGGAACAGCCTATGATGATGACTTTCCTTGCTGTGAATACAAGTGCCTTTATGTAGATTCAGCTCAGGGACTTTCATATGTATAGGAACATCTGTGTGGCAACAGCTCCATTTAACCACAGGTCATCTTTCCAAACTATGAAATTGCTTTCTGAATACACCGCAACTAGGAAGATACTTCAGTGTGATAACAAGAGATGAGCATCTATGATTACTTGGCTTACAGGGAATCCCTAGAAAAAGCCTCTTGACTGCCAGCATTTTTTTGCTTTCTTTCTGACTTTCACGGGTTTCCTCCAAAGATGGGGAATAATAAGAGATACTTTTAGAAAATAAACTGCATTGCATGATAATGAAGGACCACCCGGTCCCTCTTCCCCTTTCTTCACAGTAAACTAAGAGGCTGGCTCATGACCTGTTGATGTATGCATGGTCCCGTGGCTTGACTGACAGCAGCAGCCTCATGTCATGGAACATGAAGTCTGTAAGAAAAGACAATTCTGCTCTGGTGGTTTGGGTGAATGGAAGGCTGTGTGGCTTTTCTAAAGTGGCTTTGCGCTTTGTATAGCTCTGGTAGCACTTCATGAACCATGAATAAATAGGCTCTTTAGTTTATGTGGATGGTAACCTAGTGAGACTAAAAAGTATCACTGATACACAAGAAAATGATGCTTTGACACATGCCCCTGAGAGGTCAATACACCTAGTAGCACTTGGATGTGTGCCACAGAAAGTCAGGCTTTGACAGCTTTTCTGTCACTGCTCTCAGGAAGTTTTAGAAATAGTTGCATGTTCTCCTCACCCATTGTTTTTTCTTTCAAACCTCACCAGGAAACAACCCCTGGGGGCGGGGGCATATGTGTGCATGTGCGCCCACGTGTGTGTGCATTTTCCTTGTGGTTTTATTGGAGGGGGGCATTCCCTATGCCTCCGGTGATTTCAGTGGCAAAGGAGGGCGTTCAGCATCTCACAGGATTGCCTGGTTTGTTTTCTGTTATCCTGTAACGGTAGTAGCATCGCATCAAGGGAACACACACTAGTTCTAAACAAATTAGCTTAGGCTCTCAAAGCAATATGGCTGTATTAATATGAATCACTGGCCAGGCCAATTAACCCTGCTGAGAAGTAGGCAATATCTCTGCACTGCTTTGCACTGTGCTGTGCTGGTAGACCTACACCCAGGAAATGTGGCAGCTTTCAGTACCAGAGAAAGCCTTGAATTTTATAGTAGAGATTTTTTTTTTTTTAATCTCCCAATGAGCCAGCGCAAACAGAAATAAAAAAGAAAGAAAGAACCCCTGGTAAAACCCTTCCAAGCCTTACATCACAAACAAGAGGTCATCCCCTGGAATCCCAACCCTAAATGCTGCCCACAATGGACAGCACAACTCTTTGTGATGCAGTCATTCTACTTAGTTTTCGCCTGCTATCCATGGGGTGACACCAGCTGATTGACTTTCTCGTTCCTTTTGACTTATCACACTGTGATCAGGAGAGAAATAAATGTTAAAAAATCGAAATTGTGATTATATTTTAAATGATCAATTCGCACCTCCATGAGTTATTATTTCAGACCATTTGCAGATTTAGGCAGATATCGCTGCATTACTTTACACTGGGTTTACAACATGGAGGTTTTGTCTTTGAAGACAGGAGAGCTAAACTTATTTTCTGAAGAAGGGCCTGACTCCCCACTTATTAGCCTGTGTAGAGTTGTTTATCCTTGTGAAAACCAGGTATAAATCTCTAATAGCTTTCTGTCTGCTTTGCACAGGTATATTGAGGCTGACAAGGGAAGAGTAGCAAAAGGCAGCATCGGTGATAAGCTACATGCAAAATTTGGGGAAGCCCTTTTGGTTTCACTCTTTTTGTTTTAATGTAATGCTGTCATCCAGCTTCCCATAAAACCTTTATTCATGCCCTTGGATCATAAAATGGCAGATTAGTGACTTGGAATTTGTACTCAGTACTTATTAAGTGATTTCACTTAACTCTTGAAATAGATAATTAGGGTCATACTAATCTCTGGGAAGGATTTAATTGTGACTAATCAGAGAGAGATTTAGAGAATCCATGAAAATTTAGACCTCAAGGCACAAGCACTTCCCCAGAAAAATTACTGTGTCATACAGTCATAGAAAAGTAGGGCTGAAAGGGACCTTGGGAGGTCACCTCACCCAACCTCTCAGGACAGGATTATTCCTGCCTCAGTGCTCCAATTCACTACATGTTAATATGGTAGCTAATTTAAGGATAGGTTTTAGACCTTTTTTAAGTGAGATAAATTTTCCACAATGCTACTAAACCTTATGCTGGAAGATGACCCAGAACATAAGTTGCCATAACTCAGTGCTTTTTGCCTTTACTGATAAAACAAGTAGACAAATGAAGTGAAATATTATGGTGAACTCAGAGGTGCAAAATCTTCTAACACTTTTTGGTCAGTGCCCTGCTAGAGGTGGCACAGCATTTACTAAAGCAGGGGCGGTCAAACTGTGGCACATGTACTACAAGTGGCACAGGCAGCCTATGTGCATGGCACACAGCAGATCAGGGAGGGGACACACAGCACAGTGGCCAGTAGGGAATGGCGCAGAAAGCAGAACAGCAGATTGGGCAGGGCACAGAAAGCAGAGCAGAAAATCATGTAGAAGGGGATTGGAATGGCACTCAGGAAGGCATGGGGCTTAATTTGTGGTATGTCTGCCAAGAAGGTTGACCCCAGCTGTACTAAACCATTGGGAACATAATGGTACTAGTTCTGATTTTATGCACACTGCTGGGAATTGAGGTACTTATTGTTGGCATCAGTGAGGTTCATGCTGGAAGTTCATGACAAGGTTTAAGAAACCCAACATACGCAGGTATCGAGTCCATTGCAGGCAGCATCATTTACAAAGAAGGCCTTGTTCTTATGGCACTCTCATACATGATCTGCAGTATTCATCAACTGATGTTGCTTGATGAGCCTGTAGGCTGAAATGCAAGCGATCTGCAATTTGGTTCAGACGTGGAGTAGAACAGGCAATACAGCGATACCAGTTGTAGCACAGAGCTGGTGATTTTTATTACCTGAAGCAACGAGTGCCTTGCTGGTGGTGATTGATTTTTTTTTTTGAAGCCTTCCCTTGTACTTGATGAAGAAGCATGAAAGTCTGACCATACATGTGTAGCCTGATGGTGACTGAGGGTATTTGAATGTGAAGTGCAAAAAAAGGGCCCATTTTGGTGCATGAAAGATAGCAAGCAATACTCTTTAGAAATAGCCCATTGCTGATGTAAAGCAAGTGTCATGATGCTGCACTGCCTCAGAGCAGGGGTCCTAAAAGGAGAGCCACGAAGACTCAGAGGATTTTCAAAAACATTCATTAAAAATAATAATTTTAATAACTCTGGGGTCACTTGCTCACCATGTAATGATGAAGTTCAACTCAGCCAACACCTGACAATAATGAATTTCATGTAAAAAGGCTACAAGCCACACTCACCTAAGAGCCCAAACCTACAAGGGGTGACCATGGGACATCAGACTTGATCATACAGCCTTTGAAATCAGTGGCAAAGCTCCCGTTGACTGTGGGACCAGCATCAGAGCTTATCCATGACTACCATAGGTTTACATCTTAATAATCTTTACTCCCATTGAGTAGTAACTGATTTCTGGGATAAAGTACCATTGTAATAAGGGAGGAGTAAGGTGTTACCACAGACAAGCAAGGGGGCCAGTATCTTCAGACTCAGCATTCTGGTGCCATTAGTCATGATGCAACTTCCAGGCCCTCATGCAGTGTAAAGGGATAGGGGAGTCACACATCTAGAAGCTACAGTTGTCCAGACGCTGCCAATCCATCCTGAGGCATCCATACCATCTCCTGGGGTGGTTCAAGGTTGTTGCTTATCCATCTCCTGCCAAGAAGCCTACTGTTTGAGTGTGATGCAGGCTACAGGGTTTGGGTCCCAGTGAATGAACTTGAAGGATATTTGGCGTGTTTTGTACTTTGTATTATTCAGCCTGCTACCAGTATATCTAGACTGAAATCTTGACATGTTATTTATCGCCAGAGTTTTTCATTGTAATGACTAATCAATATTTCCTGCTTTCAGTGAATGAAATGAGATAATTATGCAGGCAGTTTGTGCTAACCACCTTTTAAAAAGTAATGTGCTTCTACTGCTGATTGGTTTTGTACTCCCAGCCTTGCCACAGACCCGTTGTGTGACCTTGGGCAAGATGCCCAGGTCAGAATTTTCCAAGTTGGATGTCTGAAGAGGGGCTGCTAAGTGCATATCTAGGCAGTCAAATTAGGGGTCTTCTTTTCCAAAGTCATCTTCTCCTAAAATCTGACCCTTGTAAAGTATTTCACATTGGGCACCCCAAACCTGTGACACCTTTCATAAGTTCAAGCTCCTTGTATGTAAACTGCACAGAAGCCCCTTTCTGTTATAATTAGCAGAGTGTGGTGTCAGCGTGTTCATAGTTGATAGCCTGAGATGATTATTCAAATGTCCATTGTAGCTGCATAGCCCAAGGCCTGATCTGTCTGTGAGGCAGCATCTCTAGAATCCTGAAATGATTTATAAGTTTACAGCATTAGAGCATTGAACAGCAGGTAGGTTATTAGGTCTATTGCTGGATGAGAATCTGACTGAATTTCTGACCAAGCATGGAAGTTTCTCATTAAGGGGCCAATCCAGGATGGTGCTAATTGCTCTCAGCTCCCACTGAATTTGGCCTGAAGAAAATACTTGTCTGGTTTGCAAAAGAAAGCCTCTTATCAGGTTCTGACACTCTTGCTGCACAGCATGTCCCAAAGCAATGGGTATGTTTGTAATTTAATTCTTCTCTTTCCCCACTACCACTTCTTCTTTCATCTCACTTGCAGAGGGGGCAAGAACGAGCCAGAACCAGAGCAACCAATTCCTCGAAAGGTCCAGATTCGATCTCTCCCTTCCCTGGAAGATATTGATCCAGACGTGTTAGATAGCATGCACTCGTTAGGCTGCTTCCGTGACCGAAATAAACTCTTACAAGACTTGTTGTCAGAAGAGTAAGTGCTCACTGAGCTGTGACACTGGTTGGTGTCTGAGGGTTTTTATGCTCATGGGGTTAGAAATGGGTGACCAAATTCCATCTGATTCTGACTGTGAGCAGAATTCACAAGCTATATCACTACTACAAGACCAAGAGAGTACCGCCACGCAACTGGAAGTATGAACCATCCACAGTTTCTGCCCTGATTGAACAACAGTTGATTTCTTCTTCCACTTAAATATAAAGTTATGTAACTAAAAAAAGAAAATAAATAATGGGTTACCCACTCCTTCCACGTGAAATCAGTGGTGAGACCCTGTCCCAATGATCAGTTCCAGTTTCCAGTGTTCATTCGGAAATGAATAATGGGGAGGGAGAAATAGGTGGAGGATGAGGTCTCTGCACACTTCTTAGAGCATAGGTCTTCCCCATCGCATAAATTACCATCATCTGGCACCCCCTGTACTATAGAGCTCAGAGGCTGAAAGTCCAAGGAGTGATGAATTCTCTGTCTTGCTTTTAAGTGAGGACTGGCAAATGTTAGCAGGGCAGCATGGGGTGTCTACAGCCATATTGTGCTGTGTCTGGATTCATGGGTAAATAAAGAGTTTTAGTCTCCCAAGCTCTGAGTCTTGACAGCTTTCTCAAGGGTCTGGCAGGCCCAAGGCACCAGACTGGGAACCAGGGGACCACCTTGAATCCCTGGCTCAGATAGGCACCTGGGTGACCAAGTCATTCAGTCTATCCTGTGCCACGAAGGGATGAAGGGATAATGCCTCCTTTTCTCACAAGGATTTTATGAGGATAAGATCCACTACAACCACTCCTATGCTGTGGTGATCAGAGTGAGACAGATCATTAGCTTTGGGGTTACAGCATTTTTTTTCTTCTTTCTTGGCTGCAACAAATTTGAAGTGTCCTTGCTTTGTTTCTTTTTCTTTCAGAGAAAACCAAGAGAAAATGATTTATTTTCTTCTCCTGGATCGTAAAGAGAGGTATCCCAGTCATGAGGATGAGGACCTACCCCCCAGGAATGAAATAGGTACTTTAAAGTTGACTCCAGGCACCGTTGACATGTTTCAGTCTATCCTTCCTAGCACTGTCCTCCCTTTGGCATTCGGCCTCCCACCCGCCCCTCATTCCCCCCACTGAAATGGAAAATGACAGCGCTGAGGTTCAGTACGGCTCCAGCAGCTGCTGTGCCAATCCTAAAGGCTCTCAGTTACACTAAGGATCTCTTACACTGGTGTTATACCAGCCCTAGGGCCCCTTTATGCTGCCAGCATGGTAACCTTAATAACTAAGTCTGGCCATCTCCACTGTTCAAGGTCAAACACAGCAGGACCAGGAGATAATCAGTAAGACATATGTTTTTCACTCTTTAATAGGTCTCTTAGACCCCAGTCTTGCAAAGGCTCAAGGGCACAATCACAATGAGTTTTAGATATGCAAGTATTTTTAGTGAAGTCCTTGGATTGCTTGCGTATCTACAGCTAAACGAGTACCTAAGTCTTTGCAGCATATAGGCCTTTGGAGGAAATTACATCAATTGATATCAGGAAAAAAATATGAAAATTAAAAGAAGGTAAGACAAATAAAAATCTTTAAAAAATGGAAGCTTACTCTTAGCTACATAGCCAGTGATGAAATTGGGAAGATTATGAAACCGACATTTTTTTTAATGTATCAGCAAAACTTGAAATGTCATAACAGACAATCTTAAAATATCTTACATTTCAACCAGGTGTCTAAAAGGTTGGAAAAAAAGGGGGAGAAAAATTCTTACTAATTTTTTCCTCTATTTATTTCTATGAAAAATAGAGTAAGTATCATTAAGTAGGCATTGTTGCATAGGTAGATATATAGACAAACACGCATATATGTAGTGGCACCCAAATGTTTCTCCTACACACCTTACTATTGTATATTAAAGCTAGTTGAGAAAGTTTTGTACAGTTTTATAAAATACTGATTTTTTTAAGTCATGTATCTCTGTAACACTCTAAGTCTCATGAAAATTAGCTATAAACCAGGACACTGTTATTCATCACCGTTATTCACCGTACAAAAACAAACTGAAAAGATGGGCCCTGCTTTCTGTTTGATTGGCAAGCCTGGAGTCTCCTCTGCCCTTCAGGGACATAAAATGTTGAACTTTACACCTGCTGCTGCTCCAGGACTTGAGTTCTGGGCCACTGGCAATATTGCAAAAATAAAATATTGTATTTGGAGGAGAATAGGTAATGCTTTTCTGACAGGTTAGTTGTTAAAATTGAGACAATGCTAGCAGTGACCTCAGTGGAACGGGTTAGTGGGCAGAGTGCAGACCACGTGATCAAAGATATGTAATACATCAGGTATCTCTGACAGATGATTTTGCAACTCAGATGCTTTTACTGTCCAAAACTCTAACTATAGTAGCTGAATCTTCAGCTTCATATGCACAAGTGAATGCAAAGCCGTGCCCCAGATATATCATCTATCTCTTCTCCCATATCCCAAATTATTTTCATGTGCTATGAAATAGTTTGAATAGTTTCATTCAAACTATTGTTCACCTGTGCTGGAATCTTCAGCACAGGGAAAGAAAGTGTTCCCTAGTAGGGTTAGATTAACTCTGGGCTGAAGATATCATTATGCCACATCAGCACATTTTAGAATCCCTGAGCATTATTATTCAAGTGTTAGTAAGTTGTACTTCCTTTCCCACTGGAGGTTTCTACCTCCTCTGCTCCCAGCCATATCTCTGGGAACATGGGGCAAGGTTTAATTAAGAGCAATCATGCTTCTGATGAATATCTCATCATTAGCCATTAGCAATGGCCTTGCGTAACGATAGAAGAGCAGGGAAATGGTAATGGATTTAATAATAGTTGCTTTAAGAGATTGCATTCCTCAGAGATGCATGTTGCCTGAGCTTTTGCCAAACAAAATTACACAATCATATAGTGAGCGCTCGCTCTTTCTTTGTGTAATAGTGTTTAGAAAGACTGGGTGCAAGCTGTAAGCCTAGGCTGACCCATTCTCCTCTCACAAGTTTCCTCCTTACAGACTTGCAAAATGCCACGTTATTAATGTTTCTGTCATTGGCTAATTGTGCTTCAACATTCTCCAGAGCTCATTTCTAATGCCTAGATTGCATTTAACTTGTACTGCTTAATGCCCCATTTTATAAGTGTCACTCCAGCTGGATTTCCATTCTCTGATGCCTTCTGTTTTGATCCAGTTTGGTTCAAATCACCCCCTTCACCCTTGCCATTTAATCATACAGTGATTTTCCTTCTCTTCTGACTTTCTTTTTCTGGAGGGTTATTTCATACCTAGCAGAACTCATGTTTTCAGGCCTAAGTAATCTTGATGCTGACTCTTAAGGTTTTCATTTCCTACCTTTTGACCTTCGATTCTTTCTAACTCTCAGTTTTAAATCCCTCTTTCTAGAGTTTGGTGTCCCCATAAGAGCCCCCGGTGCCAACCCCCTAGTGAGAACATCAAACTTAATTATCTTCAGGTCACTATTACTCAGTGGGCGCATCTACACAAGCTGATAAGTCACTGTAGCGACAAGTTACAGTGATGTTGCTTGTCGCTATGGCAGCATAGTGTCAGCAGGCACAAACTGTGACGCTGATGCTACGTCACCATAGCAATGAGCTGTGTCGCAGTAGCTTATCACTATGGCAACATTGAGTCTAAAAATAACCATGCGCTGCCGGGACTGCACGGTACACAGTCCTGGGCACATGTAGATGCACCAAGTGACTCCGCTCCAGTTACGACTTGAACCAGCAGCTGTGTGTTACACAGGACTAAGTTCAGAACAGCCTCTCATCTCGTGTTAGCTGTTTGAAGGAGCAGTCATTTAAAGGGTCAAGAATTTATGTCCCTGAACCTTTTCCTGATGTGACATTTGACCATTTTATATGCCTACACTTGAAGTCCTCCATTATTACTGCATTATTGGATTTGGCTGCTGCTTTTATTTCCCTTAACACTACACAGACAGACTATATTTCTTCTGATGTGGAGGTCCATAATGTAACCCTGCTAGTATTTTCTGCTTCTTTTGTTACATATGAAAAAAAGTTTGAAAAGCACTTTTCCGGGATCTGGCCAGAAGGCTGCAAACAGCTGTACCGGGCTCCAGAGCTCAGTCACAGCTCTGTGCTGGGAGCAGGGGGAGAGACCAGGGTTGTGCTGCCTCAGGCCCCTCCCCCACCGCCTGCTCCAAGGCGCCCCTGCACATGCCAGAACAGAGCTGATGCCTGGGCTCCAGAGCCTGATGCAGCTGTCTGGAGCCTCCCAGCTGTAGCTGGTCCCGGCTCTGGGCAGCTGCTGCCAGCCGGGAGCCCGGGCTGCTCCCAGCAGGCAGCTGGGATGCTGCAAGCCCTACTGGGGGCAGCCCGGGCTCCATCGCTGGCAGCAGCTGCCCAGAGCCAGGGCTGGCCGTGGCATGCTGAGCCAAATGGCCTCATGTGCCATGCTCGGCACATGTGCCGGGAGTTGCTGACCCCTGGGATACATCATAAGTACCACATGTTCATTCAGTTAACACTGTGCTAAAACCAAGAATAAGCAGCAATGTTCTTACAGAAAATATGTGTAATAACTTTGTTGCTGGTTTCTGTCATGTCTTTATTTGAAGGTATGGACAGTGCTTCCAGCCTCCAGACCATACTCCCATGTACTCTGGAAGCTGGGAGCACTGGTCAGCTGATCGGGGTTCCCAGCTCGGGGAACACAATGAGCGTCTCTGACTGGGAGCCCTGATCAGTTGATGGAGCTCCCAGCTGCAGAAGTGCAGGGCATCCCCCCATCCTCCTGCCATACCTGAGTGCTCCAGTCATTGATCTGAGAGGGGCACCATGCATCCCCACAGCTGGGAGCCCCATCAGTGATCAGAGCTCCCGGTAGCAGGAGAGCTAATTAGAGCTGTCAGCTGATTAGAGCTATCAGCCATGGGAGTGCATGGTCCTGTCCCCCCACTTCTCCCCCAGGGCTGGGCGCTCTGACCAAGTGAGAGGACTCCCAGCCACAAGAGGAAAAATTGCTGGTGCAGGGAGAGCGCAGGATGATGATCCCAGGCTCCCCCTGCACTGGCAGTGTGGCATGATGGGATCTGAAGCTGAATCCCACAATAGCACATCAGATCCCATCATGCCTTCTTTTTAATGTCTGTCAGTAGCCTAAGAGACCAGACATAATAGAGAGGTGAAACAAGTGGGTAGGAGCCCAAGGGAAGAATGAAGTAGCAGAAAGAATAGGAATATCACTATTGTCCACAAAAATACAGTGTGGAGCTCAGAAAAAAGATGCCCTTTCTTGAAGGTGTCCATTACAAGGGGCTTTAAATAGCCTAACATTGAGAAAATTGCTTCCCCTTTCGTCAGCTTTCCTTCTTTTTGCTGGTGTGATACCATCAGCAGAGGGATGGTCTAATGGTAGAGGCCACTAGTCTGGAGTTCAGTAGACCTGACTGCAGCTCTCTTTCCACTATGGATTTCCTGTGTGCTCTGACAGGTCATCTAAAGGCAAATTCTTAAGGGTATTCAGGTGCCTAAAGATGCTGATGTCAGTGGGATTTAGGTCCTTTTGAAAAACTCACTGGGCCTTTGTATGTATCATTAGAAGCCCAAAAGCCTTTAAAAAACTAGCCCTTAGTACCCTGTTTTTCCTTTTGTAAAATAAAGATAATAGCACCCTTTTACCTTGCAGAAGTATTATGTGAAGGCTCAGTTACTATAGTAATAGAGCCTACATGTCTACACTTTACTGCACAGCAGACTAATTTGCTGCACAGTGAAGTGTCACCTGCTACACATACATGGCAATTAGGATATAGTAGATTAATTTACTGCACTGCCAGATAGTCTTGTCAGATACAAGTGGTATCCAGCAGTGCAGTAAATTACTGTGCTGAAATGCACATGTAGATGGTGATGTTGGAATTAGTTTACTCCTGCTCAGCTTACGCTGGAGTATACTCAGTCACATTAATTGCACATGTAGACATGCCCAGAGAGATGCATTTCATGACCTCTCCAGTTATCATCTAGAATAAACAAGACTGATACTTCTAATGGGACAAGATGAGGGGAATCTTAAATTTTATTTTTGAAGGTGTGTTTTAGGCCTTTTCCATACATTAATAAAGAAGCATCGAGAGGGCATGTTACAGAGCAAAGTTAAGGTATAATTTTAGGTGGCCCAGGTAATTACAGCAGTAAAGGCTTTAGTATGCAATAGCAGCCAGCGTATATACACAGGGCTCCTGGAAGGCTTGAACTTTCTTTACGAGCACATACTAAAATCATGCATCTTCCCATGTGCTTCAGGCACAGAGTAGTGAGGATATTACAGACATGTGAGAGTAGATTGCTCAAGGGAAGTGTTGGATTTTGCCAGACTGACATGTGCTTCAGGTCACAGTCAAATCTAGCTGACTGCACTTTCTCTTCATAAAGATCCCCCCAGGAAACGTGTGGACTCCCCGATGCTGAACAGACATGGGAAGCGGCGGCCAGAGAGGAAGTCGATGGAGGTTCTCAGCGTGACAGATGGCGGCTCCCCAGTCCCAGCTCGCAGAGCTATTGAAATGGCACAACATGGACAGAGGTTGGTGGTCCCCATAGCTAGGAGTGATGAGCCCTGTCCTATTGCCTCCCTTAACTCCCCTATGTCCCCTATACACAGAGGAATTGCAGAAGCCTTTCTGTCCACAGCAACAATCACAGCAACACCCAACAACACTCAAGAGGTAGTTGACCACCAGTGCCATGGCTACTCACATGGCAGTAAAATTCTTCTTGTAGCTGGAGGGGTCCTGTCTGTTCCTGCTTTTCACTCAGGATCCCAGACAGATACAAGTGGTATCCAGCTTTCTCTGTCATGTATTGTTTACCAGATGTTTTGAGGACAGTGGGCAGGTATGATTCTAGATCTCTCAGATGTAGGGAAAATGCCGCCATGTGGTGTTAAGGGAGCTGTAGGGGAACTGGGGTCCCTGTAACATGCATGTTTGGGGTCTTCTAGTTGTAATGTCTCGTGGATGAGGCTTCCACCGTCATTACGTCAGGGCCGCATTAGTGATAGGCAGAAGGAAGATATGTGCTTTGGGAAAGGACACACAGGTACATCACTTTTTATTAATGAACACTAGTCGTACATGAAAATGGTCAGTGCTTTAAGTTGTAATTTGACATTTTGTGCCATGGACTTGTCCCTCAGCTGTTTAGATCTTCTGGGAAAAGTCTTCTACTTCTAGAAATGCTTTTGTTGTCTGATGCATGGGTGAAGAGCATGAAATAAAGAAGTATAGGGGTCCTTAGAACTACCTCTGATTTGCTAGATAGCTGTTCCAGTATTTGCTAGGGTGAGGAGAACAATTTCCCAAGACCTGCTAGGACTTATTCGCAGAGTCTTTGGCAAGGTATCTTTGAGATGCAGTATCTAAAAAGTTCCCCTGTTTAGGACAGGATGAATGCCAATTAGTCAAAAATATTCTTTTCTATTTGTAGAGTATGTAGGGGAAATGGTGATTTCACAGAGGCCATTGAGATCAAAGGATGTAAGATGGAGAACAAGACTGAACATTTATGGCAACACACAAATCAAATGCTATTCTCTCTCTACTGCTCCTGTAGTATCCAGTCATGCTACTGAGGAGTTTTGCTTGTAAGGGATGAGGTGCAATGTGTGGACCATAGCAAGTAGACAGTTTGAGTTAGAGGTAACTGCATTGGCTTTTGGAGAGCATTTAACTAGGTGAAACAAACAGAAATAGCCTGGTGACACCGACCAACTGAGCAAGTTGTTTGGCCAGCCTAGAGCTTCCTGTTTTGATCCTGATGAGTTCTGATAGCTGGAACACTCCCTCCCACCTCTCACCTTTGCCTTGTTATTCCATAGCAAGCTGCCAGGAAGCTGAACCAGTTTTTTGTTACCCTGAGTCCTTTATTTTGTTTTGAATGTCCCATTCAGCCCTGCAAATGAAAAAAAAAAGTTGCAGTAGCAGCTGGTCAGCTGCAAAGGATGCAAAGAGAATGTCTCAGGCAATCCCAGAGAAAGAAGAGAGGGAAGCCTTGGCTTTATGTCAGTGAGGGATGACTCTAGGTTAAAGGGAGATGGGACACATGCCAAAGGGAGCATCAGGGACAATCAAGAGGGTTACACTGGGGGCATGTGTGCCAAACAGTGTCAGCTGAAGTGGGATGTACAGTTTGGATCAAGGGCAGGGAACATGGACACACTGACATTATGAGGAATGAGACCCAGCTCAGTGGTGCTTGTTTTGGAAGGGGTTAAAAGGAAGGTGCTATTAGATTTCAGACTTGAGCTTTCATTACTCATACACAGTCTGCATCCACAGATGACAATGGCACAGCATGCGTTGCTGGCAGCATGATCATTTATAACATGAACTGGCTTCATTAACAAACGCCACCACATGGGGAGTGTCTGGGGATGAGGCACTGCTGTTGGGACACCATCTGTCAGGACAGTCAGCAACAAAGCAACGAGTGCCTTGCACCAAGGGTCAGGCTTTTCAAGGCTAGATCTGTAGTATTCAGCAGCAAGTGACCCACTGAGAGTGGATTTTGCAGCATTGCGTTTTAGGTCTGTGACTTTCAGAGAGTGATGCTGTCCTGGAAAATGACACTCACAATCTAGGAGGGTGGATAATCATGACTTCATGCCAGGGGGTTGGTACCGTACTAGGAAGGTGGAGAGAGGAGAACAGGAGACAGTTTCCTTTGTTAGAAATTAGAGACTATATAATCATTAGAAAATCTCTAGCCACTGCTTCCTTCACAAGGTAGCAGAAATGGTCCTTTCACTGCTCTCCTTGTGAGTTGTGTTTTAATCCTACTCCCTCCTCCCCCTGTAGTGAACAGTTGCTTATTTGCAGATAGGGGACGTGTGTGATAACCTCCAGTTGCATGCGTCTGTTTGGAGAACTGCACGTCTTTCATCCAGCTCGAGGTCCCAGGAAGTTCTCATTTTGAAAATATGGCTTTTATGTCCTGCTGCAGAAGCCATTAAAGCTTGGAATAGAGAACTTGAATGCAACAGGCTGGGATGGGGCTTTCTGCTCTTAAGAAAAGGCATAGCCCTACAGCAACTTAGTGGACTAAGGGATAGTGGATAGAGAGGAGTCCTGTGCAACAAGTGGCTTCCAGCTTATCCTCTAGCTGGCCCTCCACATCCTTGAAACATTTGTTTTGGCCTCTCCAAGTCCTTTCCACTGTGTCTCTGACAGTAAATGCCCACTAAAGAGACACAAACACTGACTCCATCTACATCTGGTAATGAGGTTGGGTTGGTTGTTGCTCAACATGCTGTGTGCCAGCTCAAGTATATTGGGTAGCCCTGAGCTTCTCCACTATGTATGTTCTTGCCTCCCCCACCAGTCAGGTTCCATGATATTTCCTAGAGATGTTTGGAGAGAGAGGATAGGCACATGGAGCTGTTTAAAGCTAGCTGGTTTTGCACAGCCCTAAGAGTCCTGTAAACTGGAGAGATGGCATCTTCCGCTAGTTCAGCAGCTAGAATCTCTGCTGAGATTGCCAAGAGTTTGCAGCTGCAGGGTTCTGAGGTGGGAAGAACACATCAAACTTCCTATGAGGGCTCCATTGACTATTCGTTTCCCTTCCATTCTTTTTTTTGTGAGTTACTGAAGTGGATAGTTTCCACCAAAAATAGCGGTAGAAACATTGTCTTCCAACACTACTGCCAGTGTTGGAAGACAGTGTTTTGTAGAGCAGAGTTACCCATGATACAGAGATGCGTGGAATCCTGCTTCTCAGCTTCATGAACCAGGACCCAAGCTTGAGAAGCAGAACATGTCTTGCTGGAGAGATGAATGGGATTGGCACTGGCAGGGGTGAGCTATGAAGAGGCAAAAATAAGAGAGCCCTTTCTTTTTAAGTAGACCTGCATGTTTTGAATCTTTGCCCAGGCTATGCTTAGTGTTAATGACTTCCAGGAAAGGCTTTCAGATTCCCAGCTGGAATAAAGAAGGTTTTGCTATTTTCACATTCGGGCATTGTCCATCTCCCCTAGGAAATATAAGCAAGTGATCTCCACCTGAGGTCCTTAGTCCAACAAAGAGGATTTGTGTGTGTGTGCACATGTGTGTGTGCATACGCACACTGAGGAGGTCACAGACCACATGTGCTGGTAGCCTTTAGTACTAGAGAATACTTATTCTGTAGGGGTCTGATCCTGCTGTGTGCTTAAGGCCTCAATTCTTGTTAAAGTCAATGAGATCTTCAAGAAATGGTCAGCACCATGCAGGATTGGCCCAGCGATCAGGAGCAGACAGAAAAGGTGTCCTGGAGCTGTGCTTACAAAAGAAAGGGTGGGTTGGGAGGGCTGGGAGTCAGGGACTGCTTCAGGTGACTCTCATTGATGAATGTCCACATTAGTAACTCTGTTTTCTCACTTTGTTCCTGCCATAGTAAAACAATGTTCAGTAAAAGCCTGGATATCTCTGAAGCCAATCCCAAATTCAACAAAGAAGAAAGGTATAAACACTGACAATCTGTTCCTCTCCTCTACCTCACTGCTGAGACCTTAAAGATGCAGTACTTACCTTCTTCACACGGGGACAACTGCTGCTCATGCGCTAGGGAGAGCCAGGGAGGGTGGGCACCATTTTATTTTTACTCTTTTAGGGTACAGTGCTGTATCTTTTCATGCAGACCATTCATCCAGGTCAATCACCAAATGCATCATGGACAGGCTGTTCCTGTAGTGGGATTTCCCCATAAAATTTTATGTGATTGCTATCTCTGGTTCAGCACTCGTGCTCACACTGATACATGGACCAGCGTAGAAAGGGCACTTGTGTTTTAATCACTGTGTTGACTCAACCTGCTTTATCAAGTGTGAGTTGCACTGTGCTTAGAAAGTCAGGAGCTGCCTGGTGCCTGGTCTAGACTGTGTTCCTTGCCATTACCAATAAGAGTGTGGCCCAACCAGTGGTAGGAATGGTAAGAAATGTTCAGATCAGTGTTTCTCGAGTCAGAGGTAAAATGCTATGTGCCTTCAGGAAAGAGGCTGGCTCTATAAGGCTAGTGCTCACTAGAAAGCAAAATACAGAAAAGAACAGTTGCAGGCAAGGTATAATGAAGACATATCAGACTCAGTGGCAGGGTAAGTAGTTGTGTGTAAGCGGGGAAGAGAAAATGAAATAGTGACTCTCACCTCTCAAGAGAGGCAGGGAGGGGGAGCAAAGAGTCAGCCAAATTAGAGGGTATAAGAGGACATTCTTGGGTCAGTTTAAACTCTTTGGGTTTATGGTGATCTGTTCATAAACTCTTTCCTATGTGTAGTGGCTGGCTACACCTAATGGGTAGCTCCCCACCACACTAGCCCTCATGTGCTATGGGCCTTTTCCCCTGTCCTGCCTACTTATTCCCTGAACTAGTGTGGTGATCTGTCTTTAAGGGATTGCTTTCCCACATGTGCATGTCTCATAGGAAAAGTGGAGGGAGAGAAGAAGCAAGAAATCCATTCTAGTTATTCATCCCATATGTTAATCACCATCAGAGTCATACCAAATATTTATATTGTGCTGTATGTTTTAACGTATGCAGGTATTAACCCTGAAATTCACCCAGTTAAAGGGCCAGGTTAGCCAGTGCCTGAGTCCACAGCCAGAGGGACAGAGGCTTCCCCATATCACCCATATAAGGGGGACTCAAGATTTCCTCAAGTCCCCACAGGAGAACTGGAGAAGTCTCCTCACCAGCACCCTTGAACTATAGCTAGGGACCTTTTTTGGAGACATTCGGCATTTGAGGCTGAGACTATCAGCCTTCTGCAGGCTGAGACAATCCAGCGTGCATACTGTTTAAATATGCAAGGGTGCCACGGTAAAAAACAAACAAAAAACAACAACAAAAAACCAGACAGAAAGCACCAGGTTTGCCTGCAGACGAAGGGACAGCTCCAGAATCACTCGCGCTTAGGAGGTCCTCAAAGAAATTAGCATGGCACCCAAGATACTAGAAATTCATAAAAGCTTATGGCCAGGAAGTGGTCATGACATGTCACTACACAGTGTCCATCCGGTCACTGAGCTTCCCACTGCTGTTATCATGAGACAAAGATATGGTGTGTTTCCCACTATAATCCCCTTCCTGAAGCAGAAGGTGAGAGAGCTGAGTTCCGAAAGGTGTGGGCATTTCATTTTAGGCCTACCAAAAAGTATAGCTTTTCAACAGCATCTAGACCTCCCTCACAGGCAGAGAGAGGCCTTTCTATCTTGTTTGTGACCCAATAAATGTCTGCCAGGACTTCTGGCTCCATGCATTTCTTCTTGCATTTCTTCTGTAGCTGCTGCATCTGGGGAAAGCATGGAGAAATGAATTCACAGAGGCTGCTGGGGCAGTCCACTAAAAGCATAGCCTCACTTTGAACTCCATTCTAGGGGAGATATTTTCAGAGGGCTGAAGACAGAGGGCCAGGTTACTGCCTGAGAGCCTCCACGGATACCCATTCTTGAAGGAGAGGGATGCTACAGGGAATAGAAATTTACTCCAGGTCCGCTGATGGAGTGGGGAAGAAGGGGCAGCAAAGAGAACCCCAGCAAAATGACTCTTCTAACTAGTCATGGTGGCCACTAAATCTTTGGCCAACATTTCATTATCCAATATTTTGGTTGATTCTTCTAAAAGGAATACTGCATCTTTAAGGGTCCCATCCCTCTAGATGCACATGGTTGTCTTAGTAGCTGAGGCCACTGTCACTTTCTTCTTCTCTGTCTCTCACTCTCTCTCTTTTTCTCTCTTCTATTTCTTTTACTTTCTCTCTTCTGTATTTCTCTCTCTCTCTTTCTCTCCCCTCAATGCTTTTTTCTCTTCTGTATCTGGGTTGCTACAGCTCCGTAGTTCACTTGCTTCAGTATTGTAGGGAATGCACATGTCTGCACTGCTGGGTGTATTGTGTCCTGGGATTGTTATTGTTTTTAATCTCATTTCCCTTCTCCTTTTCCCCCATTGTTGATTTGCTTTCCATTCTCTGTTAAAATCCTCAGTGCCTTTGCCTTTGGGGAAAATACCTTGAAAGGAAAATCGATAAATCAATACATATCCATTATATGCATTTTTAAATACGCTGAGTGTGAATGTGGGTGTATCATGTATGCATAGCCTGGGTGCCAAATGCTAATCTCAGTTGCCAGATGCAGCTGAGAACAACATTTGGCCCTATACTTATCTAAATTGTAACTCCAAACCAAAGTACAAGTGGAGCATCATTCAAGCACATGGAAAAGCGCTTACTCTAATGCTTCTTTCCACTTCTCTGTCAATGTATAACATAATGATTTCTTTCTTTCTATTCAAATTGAGTCTTAGTCTTAAACTGTCTTAAAACCTCCCTATACAGTGTTTGGAATGTTCATGCCATGAGATGCATGCCTGCCTTCGTTTATATGTAAACTGTGAAATCTACTTGGCAAATACTCATTTTGGCATTTCTCATGGTGACCGTCCCATGGAGAATGGATCCCATCATATGGGAAACACTGGCAACTTGGGAGCCCATTCCAGGAACCGGAGAGTGAGAGAGAGGAAGAGAGAGAAAACAGTCCTATCCCACCCTATTTGAAAAGATTTTGGTTGAATGTCAAACCAGAGATTTTACATAAGCCGAAGGCCAGATCGGGAAAATAAGAAGTAGTGATACTCTCTGAAGGTTAGTCATGGGCCAGATGTGTCCTGAGAGCTTAGTAATTTGACCAGCTCCTTTCTTCTTGGGTGCTCTGATCTTCAGTAAAAAATTAGGAATATTATATATCTGAATTGTCACCATTAGGCTTCAGAGTCAACACTCCAGGGAGATAAATTGACTGCCCGCACCCCTTTTCCAGGGCTGTTCTTTCAGGCTGTCTTCAGCACTGCATTGATTTACACTCCATTCACATTGGAACTGTTATCTTTGCAATTTCTAAGGCCCAGAGACTTAATTTATTTTAAATGGAAAGTGAGATTCTGGAGCATGTAACTCACCTGCAGGGATAAACACTGGATTGCTGAGCTGGCATGGCCAAGCCAGTCTGAATCCCTGAGTTTAACACAGTAAGTGTTCCCACTTCACTGTTAAGCCAGTGTCAAAGCAGGATTGCTATGTGGCCTACAGTCTCACTTACTGGGCTCCCAGGCTAGCTCAGAAATGCACATTTTAATGACCAATGCTTTTCACAGTTTGTACAAGGGAAACATTTTGGGGAACAGAGGGATGCTATACTGATCTGACTGTGCTTCAGCTAAGAGACTGCATGGAAACTGAGCAAGGAACCTGAACTACTCACTCTGCTGATCGAGTTAGTTGGGTGTGGTTGGGGTCCCTAATGCCTTGGTATGTCTCTCCCCCAAGCTCCCCCCATACAGAAGTCTGGCATGTCTGCAGTGTTTATGTGCAGTACAAAAACCATTGTATAGTAAATTAAACTGTTCCCCTAGTATCCCCTGTCCCCCAAAGGGGAGAATCCCATAGCAATAATGATGACCTTTCAGTTCTCTGAACAGTATTTCACTCTGCTTTTCATACTCTTCTCTCCACTTGCTCCCACGTCCCACTCTGTCTTTCTCTCTCTCCTCTTATTCCCCTCTTCCGAGGATGGCGAGTGCTGATCTATTGGGGTAAGCTCCAGTTTTGGATTATACCTGTTGTGGGACCTGTTATATCCTGTACAAGGACTCTTTCATTTGCACAGTTTACAAATATTGATTTCTATCCTTTATTGAATGAGACTTTCTAGCAAGGAGAGAGATGTGGGAAGAAGCATTTTTGGGTGCCTTTGTGTGAGTTTGTGTGTTTTTGTGTTGGGGTCACACTCCATATACTTTTCTTCTTTTAGTTTTGTTTTCTTTTTTGATTGTTTGGGGGGGGGGGTTCAATGTTTATGGGGGCATAGAGTTAATCCCAGACACTGCAGATACCTGGACACCTTGAGAATGGGAACCCCTTCCCCACTCAGCGCACTTCTCCTGTCTATCTGGCACACTCCAGTTATTATTGATCCTCATGGGTTTTTTTGCTTTGCTTTTTACAACAAAACTCAGTCCCATGCTTGATTTGAAATAATTTTGGGGTATTTTCTCTCCACTTAGCACAAATTCTTTTTCTGTAGGGAAATAAGCAGTTGGCCCTAGAAATAGACACAAATTCTTTGTTTTTCTATACTGTAAATAGACTCTAGGTATACCTAGGAATATGGTCACACTTTAGGATAAATGTTCCTTTATAAATGTGTAACATCAGGATGACAAATAATTTTAAGGTGGTTTTTAATATTTATTAAAATATTATATTTATTAATAAATTGCAGTAGGATGTTACAGTGTCCAAAAAGTCAACAGGCACTTTGAACTGTGGAATACCGTCAGTGAAAGCATCTTGTACTGATATAGAGATTATGACTCGTAACATATTGTTCATGTTACCTCAAGTTTATAACACATACTAATTATTTATTAATTCTTTATAAACTGTTAATTTTAATATGCAATGGGCA